TTGTTGCCCGTTAACAGAAGCCTTTGTATTTTGTGAGTTCACAAAATACAAAGGCTTCTGTGAATGAGCAGGAGGAGGAGAAGGGCAGGCATAGCAGTTCCAGCGACTCTGCTCTTGAAGGAACTGAGACCACAGTTAGCAGCATTGGAGCTCCAGAAAATATCTTCCTGGAGCACAAAAAAACCTGTCAGGTGTGAATAGAGATAAGTCTTCAAGGTGGCAGGCAGCTCGTTAGACCTAACTCATGGTATGCTTGCAGTTCTTACAAAGTAGCTGAAGTCCTGGAATTCAGCTTCAAAGCTGAATTTCATGTATGATCTATATTTCATAGTTACATGGGCCCAGCATGGTCCAGTGCAAGTAGTAGAGAACACCCCAGAAACAAAAGAAGGCCTCAAAACCATCTATAATTACTGGAGCCCCCATTTAAAAAATCAACAATGTAAGCCACTTCAATGATAAACTGCTGTTGTAGGGCTACAAGAGATACTTAATATAATTATTTAAAAATAAATTAATTGAAGAAAATACAAGGCATCCTGCGAATGGCAGCAGTACCGGACAAGTGACTCCCTGCGGTTGGCATACAGTGGGTCAGTCACTTAACACAAGACCCAGAAGATCCCAGCAATCACTGTGGTAGCACCGACTGCTACATTGATCATCACCTTCCACAGCCACTCCTTAAAGCGATACTACTGTAAAAACTCTGTTTAATTTAAACAATCTCTTCTCTTTCTGCATGTGGACGATGGCACTGTAATTATTTTAATACAAAAAAAATCTAAGTACCTTCTTTATTAAGAGATATACAGCTGTCACATGACCCAGCTCTTTCCCAGCCTGTCTGTAGGGAAACAGTGGCAGGAGGAGCTTCTAGACCTCTGCTGCTGGTCAAGTTCAAAAATAGAAAAAAAAAACAGCCTTTGGGATACAGAGTAAAGATGATTAATATCAATAAACTGTTTTCAGTTATATATATATATATATATATATATATATATATATATATATATATATATATATATATATTTGAAATTACATTTTTATTTTTTTTTGGCAATAACATGGTGTGGGCAGATTTCTATTGTTATACAAATATATATATATATATATATATATATATATATTTGAAATTAAATTTTTATTATTTTTTGGCAGTAACATGGTGTAGGCAGATTTCTACCAGTATATATATAAAGAACCAGCGCCACGGAAATTATATAAAACAGTAAGCTGCAAAACCTAGCCTATAAACTTATGGGATATACAAAACTTCAAAAAAAAAAAAAAAAAATAGGTTGCGCTTAAATACATACAAAAGTGTAACAAAAAAATAAATAAAACAATAAGAAACAATATTTTAAATCAAAATAAAATCCAGCAAAAATGAAAAAGTCCAAAAATTCAAATAATCAATAATGTCCAAAATAATTCATCACCAAGTAAATCCACCACCAAAAATGGTTAAATACAACTCACCAGAGTAATATGCTGATTGTTGAAAAACCAGCATATAGTACTTGTTATTCTGGGAGAAATGAATAATAATATGGTGACAACAACACTGAGGGATGAACTCCAACAGATGATGTGCTGCAAAGTTTAAAATCCACTCCAAAGGTGATTTAGTATCCAAACTGAGAGATGATCAGACCGTCAAAGCAAGGTGTCCAGGCTGACACCAGTATAGACAGCATGTGTGATGAATACGGGGAGGTGAAGCCTCAATTAATCAAGATGTAACATCCCACCTCCATAGTGTTTTGCTGGTTAGTGTGCTTGGAGGAGGAGGGAAGGAGTGTGCTGTCATTAGAATAACAGGGAGGAGGGAGGTGAGGCCTCATTATTCATTAGAATAACAGGGAGGAGGGAGGTGAGGCCTCAATTAATCAAGATGTAACATCCCACCTCCACCTCCTGGTTAGTGGGCTTGGAGGAGGAGGGAAGGAGTGGGCTGTCATTTAACAGAGTGTACACGCCTACATATAGCATCTCTGTAGTCACATGGGCTGTTCTGATGTGATAGGAAGGAAATGCTCAGGGTAGAAATACACAGAAAACTGAGCATGTGCACTAGCTGCCAACACTACTCTACAAAATCCCCAACTACAGTGGGGACATGGATAGGAGGGGTAGACAGAAAACAGCAGGATCAACCAGGTTTTTTGCAGAATACAGAAAACGAATTCCATAGTGACTGAGTAAGAATGAACAGCATGTAATACGGTAATTAATAGTTTTTAGTAACACCTGTAAGTATGCAATATTCATACTTACATTTGTCCAAGCTGGGTCAGTGTTACTATGGAATTAAGGCCATTCCTGGAGTTCAGCTTTAATTATTGGGATGAAAATATGGACAGAGAGTTATCATTTAAAGTAATATGTTGCTATATATAAGGATGGTTTTTAGTCTCGAAAGGTAAACAACAAAACCTCAATTCAACTGCGTTGTACCGGAAGCACAAAATGTTGTGAGATCCCCATTGGTAAATAGAGCCTCTGGTTTTAGTCTGTGCTTGTTTTTCATGTTGTGTTTAATTTAAGGCATTCCTGTCTTCTAACAAAGAGGCACTTGGAAGAGAAGAGATATTCTGCTCCCTTCTCCGGCAGCCTGTATCCTACCTCCCCTCCAGCACTGGACCCACCACCAGTCTCTCCATTCTTCAGCAATTCTGGGAGTGTTGGATGCCCTTGTCCCCACTACACACCGTAGTTTCATCCTCTCGCTCCTACGTCCCTACAGGTCTCACTAGGGTTTGGAGGATGGAACCACAGGGAGCACAGGCACCAAACACTCCCGGAAGTGTCTCGGAATTCGGAGAGACTGGTGGTGGAATCTAAAGAGACTGATGTATCCTACAGCTTTGGAATGGAGGAAGGTGGGAGACCAGGACCACCATTAAGGTGAGTATACTACATCTTCCATTGCAGAGACCTTTCAACTACATGTTTGTTGGAACCTCTCAGGGTCACTTTATATAATTTTTTTTTTAATGTGTGCCTGTCACCCCTACATAGAGAAGGTGACCTTTTTTTGTAGGCCAGAAATCATTTGCAGGATACAGCCTGTGCTTTCAACAGGACTTTGCGACATCTGATAAAAAAAAAAAATACAGAGCACCTCATAATGACATGATGTCACAACTTCCTTTCTAATAGGCCAAATATAGATTTGGCGTTCAGTACGTGTAACAGGTTCACTATGGGGTCTGTTTATAAAAAAAAAAAAAAATTCTGAATGCCTCAAGAGTCGCGAATAATCAGCGTAATTTATAGAAATGAGTGTAATTCCTATCAGCTCCATCTAGCGGCCATAATTTGGTATTTTCTTGATTAGGGTATTTCAGAAAAATACAGCATTGCGGCCACTAGATGGAGATGGTGATCACAGGAAGTAAACCCGTTGCACAAATTGCGGCAAATGTTTGAACTTTTTATAAACTGACCCCTTTAATTCAGTTGTTGTCTACTCATTAAAACAGAAAAGTGAAACCAAAATATAACATATGCAAAGATTTTGCTGTTTTTTTTTTTTTTTTTCCTTTGTTCAGCAGCAAGAATTGTTTTTTTTTTTTTTTTGTATTTTGTCTCTATGGGTGTTGTGTGCGTATCACCGCCTTTCCTTCAGAGCATTTTCCTCCTGTTACCTGTCCCCCCTGTGTGTGTCTGAAAACGATTATAACTTACGGTACTTCTAGAAGGAGATTGTTAGCTGTTACTATAATAATCCTTCCGTTTAGAATGAGTGCTCCATAGAAGTTGAGTCTGTGTATGTGATTCTTTATGGTTGTCAGAAATGCTGTAATATCTTCCAATAAACTCTGTTTTCTTACTTTATTAGCGTTGTCTTTTATGTTCCTGTGGGCAAAAATGGAAAAGAAATCGCGTTGGTGAAAGCAATTGTTGGTTTGTAGGCTTTGAATAGTTTAAAGCCCAACTTCAGGCAAATATTTTTAAAAACTGGGACCCTAGCTGGTGCTTAACCACTTCCCCTCCGGAGGATTTACCCCCTTCCTGACCAGGCCATTTTTTGCATTACGGCGCTGCGTTACTTTACCTGATAATTGTGCAGTCATGCAACACCGCACCCAAATTAAATTTATGTCCTTTTTTTCCCCACAAATAGAATTTTTTTTTTTTTTAACATACTGTCTCCTGCACCCAAATGAAATTGATGTCCTTTTTTTCCTCACAAATGGAATTTTTTTTTTAACATACTGTCACCCTGCACCCAAATGAAATTGATGTCCCTTTTTTCCCACAAATGGAGCTTTCTTATGGTGGTATGTGATCACCTGTGCATTTTTGCACTATAAGAAAAAAGACAAATTTGAGAAAAAAGCAGTATTTGTGATCTTTTGCTATTAACCACTTCAAGTCTGGACATTTTTAGCTCCTTCCTGTCCAGGCCAATTTTCAGCTTTCAGCGCTGTCACACTTTGAATGACAATTGCACGGTCATGCAACACTGTACCCATATGAATTTTTTAGCATTTTTTTTTTGACCGATATAACTTTATTTTGGTGACCAGAGACTGCGGACACAGTACAGGAGATGACCAGAGACTGCGGACACAGTACAGGAGATGACCAGAGACTGCGGACATACTACAGGAGATGACCAGAGACTGCGGACACAGTACAGGAGATGACCAAAGACTGCGGACATACTACAGGAGATGACCAGAGACTGCGGACACAGTACAGGAGATGACCAGAGGCTGCGGACACAGTACAGGAGATGACCAGAGGCTGCGGACACAGTACAGGAGATGACCAGAGACTGCGGACACAGTACAGGAGATGACCAGAGACTGCGGACACAGTACAGGGGATGACCAGAGACTGCGGACACAGTACAGGAGATGACCAGAGACTGCGGACAGTACAGGAGATGGCCAGAGACTGCAGACATAGCACAGGAGATGACCAGAGACTGCGGATATAGTACAGGAGATGACCAGAGACTGCGGACAGTACAGGAGATGGCCAGAGACTGCGGACATAGTACAGGAGATGACCAGAGACTGCGGACATAGTACAGGAGATGACCAGAGACTGCGGACATAGTACAGGTGATGACCAGAGACTGCGGACAGGGTACAGGAGATGACCAGAGACTGCGGACATAGTACAGGAGATGACCAGAGACTGCAAACATAGTAGAGGAGAGGACCAGAGACTGCGGACATAGTACAGGAGATGACCTGAGACTGCGGACAGATTACATGAGATGACCAGAGACTGCGGACAGATTACATGAGATGACCAGAGACTGCGGACATAGTACAGGAGATGACCAGAGACTGCGGACAGTACAGGAGATGACCAGAGACTGCGGACAGATTACATGAGATGACCAGAGACTGCGGACAGATTACATGAGATGACCAGAGACTGCGGACATAGTACAGGAGATGACCAGAGACTGCGGACACAGTACAGGAGATGACCAGAGACTGCGGACACAGTACAGAAGATGACCAGAGACTACAGGAGATGACCAGAGACTGCGGACACAGTACAGGAGATGATCAGAGACTGCGGACATAGTACAGGAGATGACCAGAGACTGCGGACAGTACAGGAGATGACCAGAGACTGCGGACAGTACAGGAGATGACCAGAGACTGCAGACACAGTACAGAAGATGACCAGAGACTGCGGACAGTACAGGAGATGACCAGAGACTGCAGACACAGTACAGAAGATGACCAGAGACTGCGGACACAGTACAGAAGATGACCAGAGACTGCGGACACAGTACAGGAGATGACCAGAGACTGCGGACACTGTACAGGAGATGACTGCGGACACAGTACAGGAGATTACCAGAGACTGCGGACAGTACAGGGGATGACCAGAGACTACAGTACAGAAGATGACTAGAGACTGCAGACATAGTACAGGAGATGACCAGAGACTGCAGACATAGTACAGAAGATGACTAGAGACTGCAGACATAGTACAGGAGATGACTAGAGACTGCGGACAGTGCAGCGGATGACCAGAGACTGCGGACAGTACAGGGGTTGTGATGTGATTGGCTACAGCTAATCACATGGTACAGGTAGCCAGGTACCATGTGAGTATTGTGGGCCAATCACAGGTCACAAAAGTAAGCAAGCTGTTCATGAATATAAAGCCATTTAACAGGTTGTTTATGTTATGTGATCGGTATGATCAATTGTGATCACATGATGCACGGTTACCGGTAAACAGTGGTTAGCTCTCACGTGGATACATTGAACAGGTTAGATACTGAGCCATGGGGAGCAGAAAAGAACTGTTAAAGGGCCTGTGTAACAAGGTAATGGAACTTCATAAAGATGGAAAAGAATATATAAAGATATCTAAAGCCCTGCATATGCCACTCAGTACTGTTCAATCAATGATTAAAAAGTTTAAATTTTGGGGATCTCTTGGTACCAAGCCAAGGCCAGGTAGACCAAGAAAGATTGCATTCACGACTGCCAATAGTACTGTTCAAGATAGAAAAAAAACCTACAGGTAACCTCAGGAGAAATACATGGTGTGGTTGTTTCAAGGAGCACAATCAGAAGTACATTGGAGAGGGGTCAACAAGGTATATAGTAACAAGAATACCATCCCTACTGTGAAGCATGTTGGTGGCTCACTGATGTTATGGGGGTGTGTGAGCTCTAAAGATACAGGGAATTGTGTGAAAATTGATATGAATGCAGCATATCTGAAAATACTTGCAGACAATTTGCATTCTAAATGAGAGCTGCGCATGGGACGCTCTTGGACTCTCCATCATGGCAGTGACCCTAAGCTCAAGGCCAAGTTGGCCCTCCAGTGGTTACAGCAGAAAAAGGTGAAGATTCCGGAGTGGCCATCATAGTCTCCTGACCTTAATGTCATTGAGCCGCTCTGGGGAGATCTCAAACGTACGGTTCATGCAAGGCGACCAAAGACTTTGCATGACCTGGAGGCATTTTGACAAGACGATTGGGCGGCTCTACCACCTGCAGGAATTCGGGGACCTCATAGACAACTATTACAAAATACTGCACGTCGCCATTGATGCTAAAATGGGGCAATACACAGGATTAAGGACTAAGGGTGAGCAGACTTTTGAACAATCGGGGGCATTTCATTGGTTTATTTGTTGCCATGTTCTGTCTTGTAATTGGGCCATTCTGTTATGACCTCCAGTTACAGAATATGAATCCCATAAGCAATAAAAGAAACAGGTTTTGCCGGCTCACTCCAAAGGTAGGCCAACATTTTGCATAACATGTATACATCACTGACAGCAAGCACGTGTCTTCGTAAAGGAATCAGCTTGTTTGGGCCAGGTAATGAAAGTGGCAGAAACATGGAGTTGGGCATGAACCTTTTAAGTCATCCCTTACAGCAGACGCTCGATTAACTTCATGGGTTTTGTATAAATACATTTCGGTTGTCACAATATACAGCTACAGTAAGTATCCTATAAAAAGAAAAAAAAGTGAATTTGCCTAGGCTCAAGTGAGGCTGGAAGAAACGTTTCCTCAATCTCTTTTCCTCAGCAAGGGGCTAATCTATGTCAGGCATTCGTGGACACAGCTGTGAGCCAGCATCTACATCATGGGTGTCCAACCTTCCTGGGCCACATTGGACAAAGAGGAATTGCCTTGGGCCGCACATACTGTATACTAAACTAACAATAAGGAGAGCTGATGAGCAGAAAGTCAGGTAGATCACAAGTTACCGATCCCTGATATACAGTGGGGTAAAAAAGTATTTAGTCAGCCACCAATTGTGCAAGTTCTCCCACCTAAAAAGATGAGCGAGGCCTGTAATTGGCATCATAGGTAGACCACAACTATGAGAGACAAAATGAGAAAACAAATCCAGACAATCACATTGGCTGATTTGGAAAAAATTTATATGCAAATTATGGTGGAAAATAAGTATTTGGTGAATATGAAAAGTTCATCTCAATACTTTTTGTTATATATCCTTTGTTGGCAATGACAGAGGTCAGACGTTTCCTGTAAGTCTTCACAAGGTTGGCACACACTGTTGCTGGTATGTTGGCCCATCCTCCATGCAGATCTCCTCTAGAGCAGTGATGTTTTGGGGCTGTCGCTGGGCAACACGGACTTTCAACTCCCTCCAAAGGTTTTCTATGGGGTTGAGATCTGGAGACTGGCTAGGCCACTCCAGGACTTTGAAATGCTTCTTACGAAGCCACTCCTTTGTTGCCCGGGATGTATGTTTGGGATCATTGTCATGTTGGAAGACCCAGCCACGTTTCATCTTCAATGTCCTTGCTGATGGAAGGAGGTTTGCACTCAAAATCTCACGATACATGGCCCCATTCATTCTGTCCTGTACATGGATCAGTCGTCCTGGTCCCTTTGCAGAGAAACAGCCCCAAAGCATGATGTTGCCACCCCCATGCTTCACAGTAGGTATGGTGTTCTTTGGATGCAACTCAGCATTCTCTCTCCTCCAAACACGACGAGTTGTGTTTCTACCAAACGGTTCTATTTTGGTTTCATCTGACCATATGACATTCTCCCAATCCTCTTCTGGATCATCCAAATGCTCTCTAGCAAACTTCAGACGGGCCCGGACATGTACTGGCTTAAGCAGGGGGACACGTCTGGCACTGCAGGATCTGAGTCCCTGGCGGCGTAGTGTGTTACTGATGGTAGCCTTTGTTACGTTGGTCCCAGCTCTCTGCAGGTCATTCACTAGGTCCTCCCGTGTGGTCCTGGGATTTTTGCTCACCGTTCTTGTGGTCATTTTGACCCCATGGGGTGAGATCTTGCGTGGAGCCCCAGATCGAGGGAGATTATCAGTGGTCTTGTATGTCTTCCATTTTCTAATAATTGCTCCCACAGTTGATTTGTTCACACCAAGCTGCTTGCCTATTGCAGATTCAGTCTTCCCAGCCTGGTGCAGGTCTACAATTTTGTTTCTGGTGTCCTTCGACAGCTCTTTGGTCTTCACCATAGTGGAGTTTGGAGTGTGACTGTTTGAGGTTGTGGACAGGTGTCTTTTATACTGATAACAAGTTCAAACAGGTGCCATTGATACAGGTAATGAGTGCAGGACAGAGGAGCCTCTTAAAGAAGAAGGTACAGGTCTGTGAGAGCCAGAAATCTTGCTTGTTTGTAGGTGACCAAATACTTATTTTCCACCATAATTTGCAAATAAATTCTTTCCAGATCAGCCAATGTGATTGTCTGGATTTGTTTTCTCATTTTGTCTCTCATAGTTGAGGTCTACCTATGATGCCAATTACAGGCCTCTCTCATCTTTCTAAGTGGGAGAACTTGCCCAATTGGTGGTGACTAAATACTTTTTTGCCCCACTGTAGATAATGTACCCATCTTGTGTATTACAACTTTTTAGCCATTTTTTTTTTATTAGAAAAGTAAGAAGGAACATAAACGAGTGCAATGTTTGACACTGTTTTCGATAAACTAACACATCAATATCTGGTTCGATGGATGTAGTAGCAATTCTGAATGAATACTCAAGTTGCTCTTCAGATGTTTTGGTTCTAATTTTGCCCGTCGTGTGCTTCATCCTTGAAAATAGTTGCTCACCAATATAGGTGCTGCCTAAAACTGATGACATGAATAAGTCGTGATGAAGAGTGGGAGATTTTTCTTTGGGATGATGAAACTTATAAAAAGTCCAGAAAAGAGACATTGTCAAAATCTTCTTTGTTAAGTGTAAACGTATTTTTACAAAAAAAAAATATTTTAAAAAATCAGAATTTTTAAGTAAGTTGACAATTTTGTGTTGTGCTGCATTAATAGCCGTCTAGTGCCGCAGGTTGGACAAGCTTGATCTACATCAGGGGTCTCCAAACTTTCTAAACAAAGGGCCAGTTCACTGTTCTTCAGACTTTAGGAGGGCTGAAACGGTGACCATCGGGAGTAGAACATGGTATTATGGGGGAATAGTTTCCCATCATTGGTGTCAGTGGGAGGAATAGTGCCCCATCATTGGTGTCAGTGGGAGGAATAGTGCCCCATCATTGGTATCAGTGGGAGGAATAGAGTGCCCCATCATTGGTATCAGTGGGATCAGCAGTGCCCCATCATTGGTATCAGTGGAGGAATAGTGCCCCATCATTGGTGTCAGTGGGAGGAATAGTGCCCCATCATTGGTATCAGTGGGAGGAATAGTGCCCCATCATTGGTATCAGTGGGAGGAATAGTGCCCCATCATTGGTATCAGTGGGAGGAATAGTGCCCCATCATTGGTATCAGTGGGAGGAATAGTGCCCCATCATTGGTATCAGTGGGAGGAATAGCGCCCCATCATTGGTGTCAGTGGGAGGAATAGCGCCCCATCATTGGTGTCAGTGGGAGGAATAGTGCCCCATCATTGGAAGGAATCAGTGGGAGGAATAGCGCCCATCATTGGTGTCAGTGGAGGAATAGAGTGCCCCATCATTGGTGTCAGTGGGAGGAATAGTGCCCCATCATTGGTGTCAGTGGAAGGAATAGAGTGCCCCATCATTGGTATCAGTGGGAGGAATAGAGTGCCCCATCATTGGTGTCAGTGGAAGGAATAGAGCCCCATCATTGGTATCAGTGGGAGGAATAGTGCCCCATCATTGTGTCAGTGGAAGGAATAGTGCCCCATCATTGGTATCAGGGGGAGGAATAGTGCCCCATCATTAGTATCAGGGGGAAGAATAGTGCCCCATCATTGGTGTCAGTGGAAGGAATAGTGCCCCATCATTGGTATCAGTGGAGGAATAGTGCCCCATCATTGGTGCCAGTGGGGGAATAGTGCCCCATCATT